TTTAACATTTCGTTTGATAAAAACTATTGTCATATCATATACACATAGAAATTTAAAGGGTAGGGTTTTATGACCACCTGTCAAAATAAAAGTTCGGTTTGACTTGCATTTAATGAACTTGTGACAGAAATAATATTATTATTGCACAGAATGTACTTCTCAAAGTAGTAGTAGTAATAATAATAATATAATTATAAAGCTTTATTTTTATAAGGATTGTTTTCATTTTAACAGCAAACCTCTGTTGTGCAGCACTTTGTTTACAAAGAAATGAATTTGATCGTTTTAAAAGATTAAATTGTTAATGTGTTATATCTTCATTAGATTACCAGCGTTTTTGGTAATATTTTGTATATATTTGATAATATTTGTATTTAATCATAAATCGTGAATTATTAAATAGTTTTTTGAATTCAGTTGATTAGACATGCGTTTTGATGATTAAAATTCAATAAAACCATTAAAACAAAATCCAGAATTTTTTTTACGTAAAACACGGAATTTGGGGGAAATAAAATGGAATTTAGGGATATATAATTTCATGAATTTCATAGTGCCCTAAAATGTCATTTTGTTAAACTTTTCATAAATTGCTAATTTGGATAAGTTTCATGATTTCAATTAATTACACATGCTTTTTTGCAACAAATCAGTCCTGATCTATACTTGTTCCGTTATTTAGATGTATGTATTTACATAAATGCAAGAATGAATTATACTCCTTCATGCCATCTTCAATCCTAGAAAGTAAGGCACCTTGAAAAACTTATGATATGATGGCCCCTATAAACATCTGCTTTATGTGTATGTTCTTGTACTTGCGAGAATATGAGAGGGCATCCACAAGTTGTTGTGCTTTGCACTTTCACTTGGTTAGCTGGCTCATTGTGGCACTTCTCCAGCACATTGTCGTCTTTCCCAGAGGGCTACGCTGTTCTGTAGTCAAGGTCTGCATGCCATTGGACATGGGAACATACTCAACATGCTCTCTTTCGGTGAGTGGTCTGTTTGCATTTGAGTGAATATTCAATCTCAAAACATTAACCCACTCTTGACCGAGATCGTCAGGTGTCATTGTTGCAGGACCTTGCTTTGTTCTGTATGTGCACCTGTAGCATGTTTATGAGTGTATGACATCCTGTACCGGTGTAGTCTGTCCTGAGATGTTGATAGGAGTGTTTAAAGTCGCCCATTCATTGCTCGTATTCTAATTTTTAAAACAGAATAACATTAATGTTCTTTTCATAATAAAAGTAACTCATTACTTTACATACAGTTACTTTTATTGAAAAATGACTAGAGAGAGACTGCATTTACTGGTTCTTGTTACCAGTAAACGTACGAGTACAGATTTTCGGAAATGTTATGTTTAAATGCAAATGAGGCGTCATCTAATTAAGTATGCACTAATTTGCATAAATGTCTAGAACAAAGATAAGAACATTGGATGAAGCCAGATTAAAAATTCTTGTTTCATTTTGTTGACATATTAGAGTCAAAGGTTTTTACAGAGAGGATTTCTCTTTTTATCACTCCATAAATCAGAAAATACTGTCAACAACCCCAAAAAATATTTAAATAAATATATATATATTTTTTAATTTAAGGAATAAAATGTATAAAATCAGGCGAAATACATATGAACAAATCCCTCTGTAAAAACCCTCAAAATACAAAAAAGTTTGGTGTATGTAAGTGCTGCTGAAGTCAAGATTTTTAGCTCAGTGCAGGAGAAAAATGTCATTTTCCTTTAAAGATATGTATTGTAATTTATTCCACAGACAATATAAAGTCCTATAAAAGGAGCACTTAGGCCTAACAGTGTATTTTGGATGTTTTCTTTCCATTAGTCTGGAAAAAAATACTTTAAAAAAAAAATCTCAAAATTGACAGATGCATGAAAAAACAATGTTTTTGCCTGTAGTGTCTCAGTTTAAAACCTTAACCAAATCCAAAAATATATACATTAAAATATAGCTTTCTGTCAATATGGGGTGCTGTGTGTACATTAATGAGGAAAAAAAATTAACTTAAATGATTTTAGCAAATGGCTGCAATATAAGAAAGAGTGAAAAATTTAAGGGGGTCTGAATACTTTCCGTACCCACTGTATATGCCATATGACAATAGGAGTGATCCAGTTTTGACCATCGCACCACTTGCACAGTAGACTGCATCACACACACTGCATAGATCCACGTGACTGTATTATGGGAAAGGGAGAGATTTTCCGTAGTGTTTGTCAGTCAATAATGTTATGTCTGTATTTGTTATGTAAAGTATCGGGTATCTGCTTGAAATAATAAATGAATGTCATTTGCGCATACAATTGTGGTTTGAAACTACCACGAATGTCTCTGGCACTGTCTGCAGCAGGCAAGTGTTTCAGCCACAGTTCAGCAGAAATGGTTTTGGGTTGTTTGTTGTCGTCAAGGCGTTACATTAATTTCTTGTCAATCCACGAGCTAGCATAACCCTGCCATGGCTCTCGCTGACCATAACTTGACCCTTCCACTGTTTACTTTGTATTGTGGGACATGATTACAGCATGTCCTGCATACCGATGGACCAGACGGCTCTGTTTGTCCAACCATTTAACATTTTGTCCTGATGTTCTTTGTTGCTTTTCTTGTTTGACATAAATCATAATTATAAATGTGCTGTTTTATCCTAGATGTCTTTTTGCTCACATAGGCATGAATATTTTATGACTTTTACGACATAATGCATTTAAACTGGGCTGTTTTGATTCCTTCCTGGCTCCGCAAATGGAATGTCTCTTAGAATTAAGCAAGCAGGGATTTGTTCCATAATGTTGATGAATAATAACCCGGGCTGTTCACAGATCACAATGAGATCTCTTTTTTTCTGACACAAATTAAGCATTTGCTTTTCATCCCTGTTGGGAAATTGAGCTAAAATAGTTTCTGATGGTGGCTGGTTTTATGTTTTCTAGTTGATCAGCTGCACTACCAAATGGGGCCTTCTTGGTCAAGGTGGTTGGAGCTGATAGGCTACCTTGGACCAAATACAAACCAGCTACATGTTCTTAAACAAAGTTACCAATAGGAGTGCTGACACAAGGTCACATGATCCTCCACCTGATACATTAGTATGTAAAAGTTGAGCAGAAACTCCTTCTGGCAGCCAACAGTTGAGACCTCCACTATTTAGAATCTACTCATTCCAGGCATCAGTTTTCTCTGCACATCTCCTGCCCGCAATTAAACACTTTCACAAAGTCTGATCAAAAATATCCCCCCCTGCAATGCAACATCTTGACATGTGCTCGCTCCGTATCTCTCTCTCTCCTGTTGTCAAGGCTGTACAGTTGGAAGAGGTCAAACTGACCCCCTCACATCTGTTGTTGGAGAACCGGCAAATCTGCACGCATCCACCCCCATCTGCTGCCAGTCAGATGGTGCACAACCGTGTTGAAGACAAATAATATTCCTCTTGCAGTGCGTTCCTGGTCCGCATCTTACAATAACAACTGCACTGTTTCTCCTGCGGCATTTCTTGACACTTTTTCACTCGGCTCCATCTGTATGTCAGCCTTGAGGAAAATGGGGTCTAGACAGCCTCAGAATATCTGCAAGCTCTGAAAGCTTCAACCTGGCCAGCTTTAGCTGTCTCTGCAAGAATTATGGATAAACTGAATTTATCAGCACAGCTTGACACAGACAAGTTGGTATGAAAGGGTCTCCTGGTGTTGAAATACATAGTTTATTTTTCCCCATGTAGTTGAAAAATTCTAATGTCCAAACAAACCTTCACATTAATGTCTTTGCTGGTCATTTCCCAGTGATATAGAGTGGGAAAGTGATTATATGTCATAGTGAAACCGCCTTACTTATACAGGGATTATACATGTTTGGGTTTGGATTTACTGAAACAGCAAAAGGGGCTTCCCAAGATCCTCTACTTTGAAACAGTTTGCTTCCAGAGGTTGTGTCCCAATTTGCATGCTGTCTATTGTAAATAGTATGCATTGGTTGGAGCTGATACACCACCACCATAAACAAACCAGCTACGATCTTCCTGAAGCATCCTTACAGGTTCAGAATAGCAGTGATTTGGAGAAGCATCAAGAAGACTCTCTTTTTTTTTTTTCTCAACGTTTGTGATTTGAGGTGACATGAATGACAGAGATGATGCTGGATAGGGATGCAATAAGTTTTCATTTAGTACACCCCACCCATGTAAAAACTGTATGCTAAGAAGCGTACTATTTCAAATGGATCCATGCATTCTTGTTCATATAACATTACTTACAACCTGTTGCGATATGGAAAAGGGAGTTTGATGGTTCTCTTATGACAATGTTTTAAAAATAGCAAAGAAATTCTATTGCTCCTGATTTTTCTCTTTCCCTCTGTCCATCTGTCATTTGTGATTGCGGTTTGGTTAGCTGTTGGGAAACTAAGTAGCAAAGACAGTTTGTCATAACCTATGTTCAGGGGTTTTAAGAAGAAGACTTTAGATGGTAATTTAATCGGAGGTGTGAGCTGTACAGACCAATGGAAAGTGAGAAAGGCGTCATGCATGGTGTGTGATCCACTAAAGTTCTACATCCGTATGTGCAAATACAATAAATACAGCCTTCATCACTTTAGCAGATGTCCTTTAGAGTCAGTAAGCAGGCCACATTGATCTGGTTTGCATTGGAAAGCACAGAATAACACTAGGGTCATGTTTTCAAAGTCTTGCCTTGCAAGCTCTCTCTGTATGAGGCCTACTGTATGTGTTTGACCACTAAAAATGACTGAATGCTCGTAAAACCATTGGCAACATTGTGTTACTTTCCTGTTTTCACCATTCTTTTTAATGGACTCCTTTACAAGCACCGTACAGCCCAGTTGGTTTCATTAGCTGTGAGGACCCCTGCTCGGCCGATTTGACCTGTTATATAGACAGTAGCAGGCACTGTGTTTATCTTAGCAGGCTGCCAGAGTTTAGTTCACATTGTGTTGTCCACTGATCCATCTTCTTACCTACAGAAACTGGCAGCTGGAGTGGACCAGTTCTCCTACACCTGCGTACAAGACCATCCCATCTGGACCAATCAGCAGTTCTGGGAGGCCACCTTCTACTCTGAGGTGCAAAACCAGATCAGAGCGCTTTACCTCACTGCCCCTGAGGAGAAACAACTCATCACTGCCAAGATCAAGGTAGAGTATTGAAGTCGACTTTTTTTTACTTGTTGACTAATCCCTCAATTTTTGAAATGTAATTTATTTTGAATTATAAATTTTATCTTAAAATATCAGATAATTTGACCTTTTATGACAAGACAAGACAAGGTTAGATCAGGTTTTTAAATGTCATATGGTGCAACCCTGATATTTCTGAATTATAATTTGTCGGGTTACTTAAAATACGTTTACCTTGAAAAATCCCTCAATTTTTGAAATGTAATATGTTTTGAACGATCAATTTTATCTTAAAATATCAGATAATTTGACCTTTTATGACAAGACAAGACAAGGTTAGATCAGGTTTCTAAATGTCATATGGTGCAACCCTGATATTTCTGAATTACAATTTGTCGGGTTACTTCAAATACGTTTACCTTGAAAAATCCCTCAATTTTTTAAATGTAATATATTTTGAATTATCAATTTTATCTTAAAATATCAGATAATTTGACCTTTTATGACAAGACAAGACAAGGTTAGATCAGGTTTCTAAATGTCATATGGTGCAACCCTGATATTTCTGAATTATAATTTGTTGGTTTACTTAAAATACGTTTACCTTGAAAAATATTGATGAAAAAACATTTTTGAAAACAATTAATATGTGTGCACTCACAAGTATTTCTATTTGATGGTTACACCACTTGACCCCAAGTTAAAATTGTTGTTGAAAAAATTCAGAGCCAACATAAACACAATATTACATTTTAGGAATTTGACACACACATTTCAAACTAGATTTTTCCTTACTGTATCTTTATCTTGGACAATCATATTTTTAATTGACCCACTTAACATTGTTGTTATATTTATTAGTGATTTATGATTGCAGTTATGTTTATAAGCAATAAAAAGATAATAAAAACAAGAAATCTCACTAGGAGTAAGGCTTGTAAACTAAGGCTGGTGTGCCTTGTTTGTTAATGTTACATTTTGTAGTAACATTGTGAGTTTGGTTGTTGTTCAAGTCAGACAAAATGTGGTTGGTTTTGATAGAGATTGGCACAAACCCTAGCAAGCATTGACTCTGGCACCATTTCAGTAGAAAAGGGATATCATTTAACCCTGTTTCCCATCTCTTCGTCTGACCATCTCTCTTCATCAGGAACATAGCACACTGTCCACAGCATCCAGTGAGTCAGAACAAACCGCTATGGACCTCGCAGCAGAGCAGTTGCGTACTTGGCCCAGTCTGAGCAAAGAGAAGCAGCAGGAGCTGGTGAAGAATGAGGAGAGCACAGTGTTCAGCCAGGCCATCCACTATGCCAGCCTGATGGTCTACCTGCTCGTACCGCTGGATACCAGCAAAACCAAGCTGCTGCGCTCCACCCCTGCAACTGACTGGGAGAGCGGCAGCAACAGCATCCTCACAAACAGGCAAGAGACTTCCTTCTACAATGCTTTGCAGGATATGTGTTTACATTTGCATTTATGCATTTGGCAGATGCCTTTACCCAAAGCGACTTACTGCATTCAAGGTACACATTTTCTCAGTTTTGCTTTCCTTGGGAATTGAACCCATGATCTTGGCATTGTTAGTATGCTACCCTACTGCTTTTAGTTCTTTTAAAATAAAAACAAAATATAATAATACCTCATTTTCATAAGCAATGCTCATTTGCCTTACAGTTGACCTCTACCTGCAAATGATTAAAATATCTTCCACATTTTCTCAGCATAAAATCCCCTAAATTAATGGATCATTGTGTTGTGAATATAAAGTTAGAGCGAAAGGCATAAATTAGGAAATATGTGTTTCGTGTCCAAATCAGGAAGTCCAAATCACTACATCAAACCACCCAGACACTGATTAATGAAGGTCATCACTCAAAATTCTCTGTGCGATCAAGGTGAACGCACATAGAGGTCAGTGATCACGTATGACGGAGATTCAGTACAGATTAAAGATGCAGCAGCCCAGGTGTCAAGCTTACGAGGATGGAACAAACTAAGCCATTGCTCAAAAGGAACCACGTGAAAGAAATTTAGAGTTTAAGTCAAGTCAAAAGACTTAATAGTAACTCATGATAGTAGAGATGTGGGAGATTTTGTGCTCAAATAAGATCTGAAATCTGGGTAAATTAATGCTGCCCCGAAGTCATAAACACAATAAATACAGTGAAATATGGGGACGGTAGCATCATTCAAATGCTTATGCAAACAGCATATTTCAAGCACAAGGTGCTTTATAACATTACATAATCATTTGAAAATAATTAAAATCAGTTTCAGTGCTTTGAAATAAAAATGTCACAAAGAAGCTAAATTTCAATGTGTCATTTGTAGTCCTGTAAAGTGAGAGAAAGGGTTTAAACACTTTTGCAGGTCACTGGTGCTCCAGTACATCTGGCGTACATCAGATCAGTTAAAATGGAAAAGACGCACAGCAGGGGCTGAGGGTTGTCCTTTCACCTTGGTTACGAAACACACTTTCCAAATAAATCAGCTTGATTGTTTCTCAACGTCTTCAACAGAAAATTGTACAGATGGTTCAGTCAGTGAGCAAAAACGTAAGTAGAAGTAGCCTGGTGTAGTTCCTCAAGAGTCCTATCCAGTTATACACCACATCCTTCTCAGCCCCTCCGGTAGCCTGAATGCTGCTCTGCTTCAGCAGAACCATGAAATGAGTTGGCCGTTTGTGGAGGGAGCACTCAGCCATAACCAAAAAAAGATGGAGGGATGGGAACGTAGAGCTTTGTAGTAGTATTATTAATAATATGTGTTAGTTTTGGGAGGCTTCATAGTCAAAATGGGTGATGTTCGGCCAAATGCATGTCTCCAGAGTTAATCTTTCCCTCCTCCTGTCCTTTTCTCTTCCTCTCAGAAAGTTTTCAAGGCCAATAACGGCACACTGAGAGTTTTAAGTGCTTGTCTCAGATGTCACATGTTTTCTTTTTCCTTTGTTTTTAATTAGTGGTGTTTGATATGGCAAGCATATCATTTTACTTTTGCTGGCACCTAGGATTAGGAAATTTTGTAAATGACTTCTCAAATTATGTCTTTTGTTGAGAAGTATGCGATTAATTTTCTAAGCGATCAGACTTATAATTTTCACCTGCCAGACAATAAAATAGGAAAAATCCTTTAAGGCAGGGGTTCCCAAACTTTTTTTGTCAGCCAAACTTTGAAAAAAATATTAATAACAGTATTTATTTCTTAGTAGTAGTAGTAATAGAGGTAATGTTTAACTGTAATTGTCAAAAGACAAATATATTACTGTTGTACATTACAATTTGACAGTATAATAAAAATATTTGATGAGTATAATAATGAAATGCAGACTATACAGTTGCATTTGATTTCATTCAGCTATATCATGATGATTGTGCAGCCCCATTTATTTTATTTATTTTAATAAAGTTACAGTATGTGCGCAATCCTTTCAAAGTATACTCTACTCTGATCGTGACCGTATGAACGCGTTCGGCATCACTGTGCTGATGATGAAAATCACATCACGATTGTATGAGCGCAGACAAGGGATAGATACTTTTGGCTTTAGGAAGAACCAGAGATTTGGGGTTTTGACTCAGAACACCCTTGGAATCACATAGCAATGTGTGGGCAAAATGTAATTATCTCCTACAAGACTCGTTAACGAAAAGTTGTTCTTCTGCAAAAGTTGCTTTGATTGGGGAAAATCTGTACTGCCTAGTTTTACTATAGACTTGATTTATTTTCTGCCTGAAATGTCAGGAACTGCTCTCTCTCTATTTGTAAACATAGTTAGGGAATTACATCGCTTTTCCACCAGCACAATGTGCACTAAGGCCAGGAGATATCAGAGCCGTCCGCTTCCTAACAGTGGTATTTCAGACCAATTGTGTGCAACAGACTAAACACATTGAATTGTGAGGGCTCGGTAAACTAAAGTAGCAGAATTACATCAAAGCCTCTTTAAATAGCTGTGTGTTATTTTAAGAATATTGAGAGTAACATTGCTTTTGTTGGTTGTGTTGTGTTAAAGTGCAATATAATTTGTGTCGTGCAATAAACAGTATTGCAGGGAGTGTGGCTGAGAGCTTTGACACTGAGAGCGGATTTGAAGACTCTGAGACCAGTGATGTTGCCAACTCTGTGGGGAGGTTCATCTCTCGTTTCATTGACAAAGTGTGTACAGAGAGTGGAGTGACACAGGGTCACATCAAGAGTCTGCATAGTATGATTCCAGGTAAAACACTGTGCAAAAACACAGAGCATTTAAACTTTAATTGCAGCAGTCTTAAGACAGCTGTACATTGACGTGAACTTCAGTAACATTAAGATTGTAGGTTAAAATGTATATAGATGTACAAGGGTAAGTGTATATTTTCAAAGGTTGTAAGTGCTCATAATTTTTACTAGTTGATGTCAGTAGTCCTCTTGTGGGAATTGAATTTATTGCTTCACAAATATTCCTTGTGGTCAAAACTGCATGGAAAATAATGATTGCAAAATTAAAAAAATGAAATTCAGAGTTATACAGTAGATGGATTTTGGTGTCACACTCTGAACGACAATTCAAGATATTAAGTGGTTTTGAAACTGAAATGCATAGTACTGTGACCCAGTGTCCTAAACTGTCCACAAAGTTTCCCGAATCAAGGTATTTATCTGTTTCTTCAGGTCTTGTGGCAATGCAGATGGAGACTCTAGAGGCAGTTCATAGAGAAAGCAGAAGACTGCCTCCCATTCAGAAGGTAAGAACTGAATGCTTCCCTACTATACAGTATACAAAAACCGTACGCCAAAAGAGTAGCATGCCCGAATTCATAGTATTGGAAAAAAAAAAGTAGTCGAAAAGTACCTGGATGACCTACTACTACTGCTGAGATTCTGAAGTGCTCAGTCGATGGAAGCTTTACTATCCCATGAAGCCACAGGATAGAGGATTTATGAATGGCAATGAAGCAACGCAACTGACACTGGTAGATCATGTGACAGTAACAACATGGCTGATGTCCGAATTTCATTCATATTACCCATATTCATACTATAAAGAACATACTTTTTTAATGGTCAAGAAGTAAGTTCAAATTCAAAAGTAATACCTACTCAACAGTGTTAATTTCGTTGACGAATAATCTTCGTCATCATGTTCGTCGACGACATTTTTTTCTCTGACAACAACGAGACGATAACGAACTAAAACTCTTTTTGAATAAAACCGTACGCCAAAAGAGTAGCATGCCCGAATTCATAGTATTGGAAAAAAAAAAGTAGTCGAAAAGTACCTGGATGACCTACTACTACTGCTGAGATTCTGAAGTGCTCAGTCGATGGAAGCTTTACTATCCCATGAAGCCACGGGATAGAGGATTTATGAATGGCAATGAAGCAACGCAACTGACACTGGTAGATCATGTGACAGTAACAACATGGCTGATGTCCGAATTTCAGGACCGAATTTATGCCCCGGTGGGACATAAGCTAACATACACTTGCTGCACGTCGCATAAAACGTTCAAAAATGTCAATATGTGGGAGTAAGAGAAGAGCAGACATATGGTTAAATCTGACGACGCAAGAAAGAACTCAATTAGGTCCGGTTTTCTGAGCACAGACACTGAAGCATACACACAATTCAGGTGACTAAAATATAACTAAAACTAAATGGCATTTTAGTCAAAAGACTATGACTAAAACTAAATCAAAATTTGCTGTCGAAATTAACACTGCTACTCAAGACAGTATGCAATTTCGGATGCACCGATTCACCCGAAAATGAAAAAGAGAAAATGAGTGAGTTTGTTCATCAGAACAGATTAGGAGAATTTTAGCATTACATCACATTACATCACAAGCTGTGTGTTTGTAAGAAAGAAATTCATCAAGACGTTTAACATCTTACAAGTCAGACTCTTTCGTTTCTGACTTGAAAGACTACTTGTGTTCAAGGTTCGTGAAACTTACTGTATAAGCTGTTCGTAAGACAATGTTTAGTTAAAGATATACATTTGCAGCAGTTTTTGTAATAAATATTTTAAGGTATAAATTAAATATTTAAAACATTAAAATGTATCAGTATTACACCAAAATAGTATTGTTTATGAAAACTCTGCCTGACTTCATTGACAAACGTCAAGTGATGATAAATGGAGACACCTCTAAGATGCTTTGGTTAAAGAGGGAATTCTGAGCTGGATAAAGTCCTGGTTTCTGTACAGGACCAAGTTTGTTTTTCGGAAGAAGATTTCCGAAGTAGATTGTTTATTAGTTTACAAATCCAGGGAACTAACTGATGGAGATCCCAACTGGCATCCCCAGTGTGAGGTGGACGTTCAAATACCGCAGATTTCCACAAAACAAATACTTGCTGTACTTCCCTTTTTTTTCTAAGTCGGTTCAGTTTCAGTTCTTGTCACCCTTCTGAATCCAACTAATGAGCTAGATAATGACACCAGGACGGGGCCAGGAAAGAGCACGCTGTCTGGACAGTGTAAAAATCGATGGGTTGTGTCTCTGGTGGTAAACAGACGAGGCTTGAGTGTGATTACTGTGCCTGGAACTAAACCTAATAAATGATGCTTACGCCTCCTCCACATCACGAGTAGACACGCCCCTTATTGCTGATTGGCTACAAGTTTGTTTTGCGATTCGGCCCGAATCAGTTTTCTAAAGTGTTTTTGAAAAATCACTTACTCTGCCTTTAAGAGAATCGTTTGTTGTCTGTCAAAAAAGCAGACCACAAAGACTTGGCTTTTTTTCTGGTACAAACTGAATAACAGTGTAATGTTATATTTCTGTTTAGGAGAAAGATAGTGAACGTAATCATCTACGTACCACAGCATTTGCTCCTGGTCTTCAGCTGACAATGATTTTTTTAATGACAATGATTTTCTCCAGCCCAAGATCCTGCGGCCTGCCCTGCTGCCTGGAGAGGAGCTGGTGTCCGAGGGGCTACGGGTGGTCTTAGACCCAGATGGTCGAGAGGAAGCCACTGGCGGACTTCTGGGAGGACCGCACATTTTGCCAGCAGAGGGAGCACTCTTCCTCACCACTTATCGTATCGTTTTCAAAGGCACTCCACACGACCCACTAGGTAAAGACAATGTTGTGACTTTTTGGAATTCCTTCTTGAATTTTGTGACCTGTTTTCCAGAGTATCAGAATAATTGCAAATGTGACATTGATTTTATACAACAGTTCAGTCAACAAGTAAGTTAATATTAGGTGATATTTTAGACACAATGTTGACTGCTGAAAATAGTTCCAAACAAAGATTACCGCAAAGCAGTCATGCATCTTTGAGCAACCCACAGCTGTGTTTTGTTACTAAATGATTCAGCGTTTTTTAACTAATCAGGTGAGTCAATGATTCAATGGCCCATTCGTAAAAATGTTATTTGCTTCATTCTTGAATGAATCAGCTCTTTAAACGATTTGAAGTGACTCCCTTATTAAGACAGTCACTTGCCACCACCTACCAGTGGTTTAGTTTCACATGTAAAAGTATCTTTGCATTTATACCAGCATTTCATATTCGTATATTAAAAAAAACATTAATCTCATAACATTATTTATGCAGTAATTTTGCAATGTAAATGCATTCATGCAACCTCTGAGCTTCATTAAACAGTCTGTAAAAGCACTTAAATGCCACTTGATGCAGCTTCTGTGTTTCCTCTACAGTGGATTTTGTAGATACTCATTTTGTTTCATCGATAACATCCATGTAGTGTCTTATTATTCTAAATTAATGTATATACTCTTTATAAATGCATGGAAATCAGTTTAAGGGGCCTATTATAATTTGCTTGTTTAATAAAGTAAGAGCTGATAGAACACTGATGAGAATATTTCTTCAGAATAAATGAAAGTTACACCACCAAAAAAAAAAAAAAAAAAAGTAAACATTTTTACTTGGACAAGTGAATGATGAATTTGCTTGTCTAAATGATAAGCACATGTCAAGGCTTAATGCCAAGCCCTGCATAGAGCGCATCTCATACATTTAGTGCATGCATGAAGTTTTGGTTACCTGGACTTTCAGTGGAGGAACAAAAACCTCTCAGGTTTCATTAAAAATATCTTAGTTTTTCTTAGATTAACCAAAGTCTTTTGGGTTTGTAACAACATGAGCATGAGTAAATTATGACAGAATTTAAATTTTTCGGACTACCTATCCCTTTAACAATGCCTAGGCCATATGTGCATTTATGCACATTCAAACTTGCCACCACATCACATCATGTTTGACGTCAAACCAAGTTTGTTCTAAATGCATTTGAATCTTTTTAATTGAATTCATATGGGTTTGGAACAAAGCGTGAGTAGGTGGTGGAAGAAGTTTGTTTGAAAGAGGTTGGAGAGTTGACTGTTCTGTATTTTGATAGTTTTACCTTGCTGTGTTCATGTGTTTATGTTTGTGTCTGTGTGTGCGCAGTTGGCGAACAGGCCGTGATCAGGAGTTTTCCGGTATCCACTCTAACTAAGGAGAAGAAGATCACCATTCAGAACCAGCTACAGCAAAACATGCAGGAGGGGCTTCAGCTGAGATCTGCCTCTTTCCAGGTTCTGGCGCACAAAATATGCCAATAAATGGCTTCAATCTAAATATTTATTGTCCAGATATGTTGAATATTACACTTTTTCCTGGTTGTTTTAAGAAGATGTGAATAATGTGCAGTAAAGTTAAGACTTGGTTTGGGATGGCATTGTGCATTAGTAAATTGTGTTTTTTGTTCATATATTTTTTATTTGAAATATATATTGTTTGCATATTCCTCAACAATCCTTGACATGACACAGCTTACCCCTAACATAGGGAAAGTTGTGTCACTGGACCACAGCAGACATAACGTTTCTTTTAAGAGGTTAATTTTAAGTGCTTAACTTTCCCTACTTCCTGTATTTTGGTTTGAACCTACAACTTTTCTGTTTTGCCTCACTGTCCAGGTTTTTATCAGAAAGTCGTTCCGATTTCAGTCAACCAGATTCAATATGTTTTAAAAGCACTTTTTTATTAGAGCACTTATTTAAAAATGCCTCTTTAGGAACAACTTGATTAGGAGTGATGTTTGCTGAAGAGGAATGTGCATGTTTCCGACGTCTCTCTCTGTCTCATTATCATGAAGTCTCTTCATGGATGAGGACAGAGCAAGAGAAACACATGTTGTGTTCTTCACTATGCATGGACTATAGGGCTATAAAGATTTTATGGCTCATTCCTATCGTTGAACAAACTTAAGCTATAAAATCAGGCCTTGTATGGAAGCGAGGGTCATTTGTGCTGGTCTGCCCACGTGTGGCTGCCAGCAGTTGGTGTCTGGGGGTACATTATCAGACCCTCATTAAGACCTGCAGTCCAAGCGAAATCAGATCAGACCCCTGAGGAGCAGAGATAGAGGAGTGCTGGGGAGGTGGAGAGGGGATATGGGGTCACACAGACAAGCATTTGCACGGCCAAACCTCATTTTGGAATGTTCTCCCCAGAAAAGTGGGGAAAGATCTTGTTCCATACTGCTGTCCAGCTCAGAGCACTTCTGCAAGTCATTTCTCTTGCCCCAAAAAATTTCAAATGATTATTTGCAGATTGCCTTGCTTCATGAAGGTGTGGCGGCTCTGTCCTAAACTATTAGTTAAATCGCTCTGTATAATATGGTAGTTGGACAACTGGTCTGACTGTATGTCCTGCTTTGTTTTAGCTAATTAAGGTGGCGTTTGATGAGGAGGTGAGCTCAGAGATGGTAGAGATCTTCAGGAAACACATGCAACGTATCCGCTACCCACCATCCATCTTCAGTACCTTTGCCTTTGCAGCGGGACAAACGGCACCACAGCTCATATTACCCAAGCAGAAAGAGAGAAACACGGGCTTTCGGTCAGTGCAATATATGTTTTCATAATGTTAATTTAGGATTCAGTGTTGAGTTGTGTTGTTCCTTTTATTGCTATTGTTGAGGCTGCAACAAACTCTTGATATCCTGATCAGAAATACAACATTCAAGCAATGCTTCACTGCCCCAAACTTTTGATTCTATCATTATTTATCTATCCTGATGTCAGTCCAAACCCATGTGATTTTCTTTCTCCAGTGGAAATGGGGTTGAAAGAGGACTGGGGTCATCAAGCTTTAAAAAGGATGCACTATAAAATTAGTCTATATGGATATGCACTATATTCCAAGTCTTCAGAGTGCATGCGATTGTATTATGTTTGTCACACAAAACTTATATACTGATAATCTTTTCAGGGGTCTATTAAGTGCTATGACTGGATCACTGAGTCAAGCTGAACTTGAGAACTGGATAAGTCCAATTCATAAATGAATCATTCAAACTAGTTTTGCAACATGTATAAAAACAGATTCATTGATTTCAAAATCAGACTCAAAAGAATATCACATTAATTGATTAGACATCACTACTTATCTAATGAACTCTTTTGAAAACACCAAGAAGAGATAAAGCACATGTCAAGATTTTGAGTATATAACAACTTAATTTTCATTCTGTTCTTCACAAACCTATCGCATCACTTCAGCAGACTCAGAATTTATAACACACACAATATGTACTACTTTAATTATATTTTTCTTTTATTTTTGGAGCTTGACCCCAGTGCTCATTCAATTTCATTATATTTAAAAGAGTGGCCAAGATGTTGTTAAATTGTCCTTTTGTGTTCCATGGAAGAAAGTAAGTCATAAAGCTTTGGAACAACATGAGGGTGAGCAAATAATGACCAACTTTTGGGTATATTGGTCAGTTAAATGAAAATCTGTTTCTTGTAGAACACTATCTAAGACCATTGTGAAGGGGGCTAAAAGGGCAGGCAAGATCACAATGGGCCGCCAGTCCACTCTGAAGAAAAACGAAAAGGGCAGTCGCATGACGTGGCACGAGGATGATGACATCTCCAGTGAGTATAGTTCACACTGTTAGAAAAATGTCTTATGTCAGCAGTCATTGCCCTTCAGTTGTGTGATGTTGATGTTTCAGTCTCAGATGATGGTGAGCCCCCTGCCAGCAGCACACTGAAGTCCTCAGAGAAGTCCACTATGGAGCAGTTAGTGGAGCGAGCCTGTTTCCGTGACTACCAGAGGCTGGGCCTGGGTACCATTAGCGTTAGTTCCACACGGTCTAAAAGCGGAGAGCAGTTCCGAGTTACGGCAGTCAACAGGCTCTACTCATTGTGTCGCAGGCAAGAAGCAACCCAACACTAGGGCTGCACGATAAATCGCATGCGATATTTAACGCGCATCTTGTCAGTAAAGCCATTCTGTAATCAGCGGTAAATCTCCATCACGTGCGTGCTTTCACATTGAGCAGCATTAACTACACAGAGCCGTTGTTCACTGATGAGCTGCGCAAAACCACGTTCATATTCGCGCGATTTTTTGCGCAGCTCGTCTGTGAACAACGGCTCTGTGTAGTTAATGCTGCTCAATGTGAAAGCACGCAGGTGATGGAGATTTACCGCTGATTACAGAACCGGCTTTCTGACAAGATGCGCGTTAAATATCGCATGCGATTTATCGTGCAGCCCTACCCAACACCTAGACTTTTGTTCGAAAACCTAGTGAGCAGCCTTGCTGCCTACTGCCTGCCTAGACAGCAACTCTGCAAGCTGCATAAATAGTGTTCTTCACAAGATTCATGACATTTAGTAGTCTAAAATTACCATGCATTTCTAAGCTGACCACACGATACTTTAATTTAGGTTGAAAAGGTTTAGATTTGTTTAAGACATTTTTTTCAGCTCATTCTTGGAATGGCTTACCGTATCTTTAAAGGAAAAGAATGTGATGGTGCCTTAGAATTTGGCCAAATCAAGGTATCTTAATTTTGCTGCATATTATTTGGAATAGCTTTTGTGTCAGGACACCCTGTGATGCCTTAAAGTCAGCATGAAATGAAAAGTCACTGTTTTAGTAACGCATGTTATAGATCTTATTGTGAACAATTCATCTGTTTATTTTTTTTAATAAATGTTACCTTGTAATGTTCAATCAAAAAGCTCACGTTCATCTGCATCCACTTTTAAGTGCAATGCCCACATCTGAAAATCCAATCAACAGCCAAGGCATAAAACCAAGTCTCTGCACTACATTTGACTTTTTCTGATAATCTGTTTCGCTTGGATGTACATCTCAATAAAAAAAGAAAAGCTCTTTTGAAACTTCCGTTTCATCGCAACTTTTAAGTGCTGTCTAAGTTTAGGTGGGTAGCTCGCTAGGTTTGCCTTATGAAAAACAATGACAGAAATTGATTTATCATTTATCAAAGCAATCTCTCAGCTGCAAATTTTCTAAATGGGGATAATATCCATGGTTTACAGTTACCCTGGTCTCCTGGTGGTGCCTCACACTGTGCAGGACAGCAGTCTCCATAAGGTGTCCCGCTGCTACCGGCACAACCGCCTGCCAGTCGTGTGTTGGAAACACCTTCGCACCAAAGCGGTTTTACTTCGTTCGGGTGGTTTTCATAGCAAGAGTGTGGTTGGACTTTTCAAGTCTCAGAACCCTTCTTCAGCAGGTATGTTTGTGCAGTAAAATATGCATATTACATCAAGCAGTCTTGGGGATGGTTGACTAAGATTATAATTCTGATAAAAGATTAGTCTCAGCCCGAGACAACATGCCCACAGCCTGTTCACTGACTATCTAATGCATGTTGCAAACAACACTGGACAGTGATTACTTGATCTGGCAAGCGCTAATCTTGATTGGATGACTTCATGCAACTTTCGAGAATATGAGAAATGTTTTTTTTTTTTTCAACAAAGTACCAGTTTGATGCAACAAGCACTTTTGAGGATGAAATAATCACTGGATTTGACAAAGGTAGCCAGACTTTTCACTGAAACTACCACAGCATTAGTTAAATATTCTTCATGGCTGTCTATTATTTTCAGAAATACTCGCCCCTAAACAGAACATAAAGAAAACAAACTGTGGTGGGTCATTTTTTTATGTCTAACTCAGTGTCTTCCTGTCGTAGGTGGTTTTTGGCCAGAATAAGCTGCAATGTGGACCAGACCTTTGGCCATTTAGTCCTGTTCTCAACATTTTTGACAGAATGCCACCGAAATATTGGCACCATAAGATATTTCCTCTAGGATTTCTGCTGTAATTATGACAAGGCTGCTTGCTTTCAAAACTTTTTTTATTAACAGGAACTGGGAGTATTGATGTCATTTAATTAAACACGATTCGTTTTGGGATTCTATAAGATTTAGTATGTTTTTCAATACAAACAATAGTTATTGAAGGGAAAAAATATGATTTCTGTCATCTTGATTTGTGTGTGTGTGTGTGTGTGTTTGATTTACTTATAATTCTTTTTAAAATATCTTTAATTTTAATTCATCCCGTGCTCCCCTTTGATGTTTGCTTTGGTCCCCTGGTTGAGAACCACTAAATTACTCAAAGGTCTGGCTGTTTGAGATGAATACGTTTTCAAGAGAGAGACGACTGTTCTGATGATGCTCTCTTGCTGTTACCAGCTCCGACTTCCTCAGAGACCTCCAGCAGTCTGGAACAAGAGAAATACCTGCAGGCCATCCTCAGCTCCATCCCCATCTACTTCAAATCCAACGGCAGCAACACTCTCACCAACCGTTCCCTCATCGGCTTGTCCCCAGGTACTGCAAAGATATCAGGTGCATCCTTCACTCAATGCCTGATTCTTCGCTTTCTTGTTTAGACTTGTTTTTGCCCCTTATCTCCTCCTGGTTTCCTCTTGGTTGCACAAAATGTTATTTATGTTTTGGGCTGATTTCCAAAGGAACTGGAGCACAATTGTGTGGTTATGTAAGGAGAGCAGGACATGTCGAGGTCACCTCCCATCCATCTCTCTCCTTGCACTCACTGCTCTCCACAGCCGTATTGCAGATGGCTCAGACCACACAGATCCTGCCCCGTAAGCTATGCAGTGTTGCCACCATAATGTTCCATTTATCCCCACCTGCTGGGCAAAAAGCAGCCTCCTCTCACCAGCAAATGACTCAGCTTATTTCTGATGATAGTGCTGCATGGCAGCTTTAAGTTCTCTCAATTTAAAACAGACCTTGATACTCAAGATGGGTTACAGCAAGAGACCAGACCCAAATCTGACTTGAGCAGTGTTGTGTCCTCAAAACATTTACTGTGTAATTGGACCTTGAAACTGATCTTTCACAGCATGCGGGCCACCCCAGCATCCATAAGCTAGATTGATCCATACTAATCCACGTTTGCTATGGCCTGCATAAGTGGTTGGGTTGAGATGTTTACTAACTACAAGCATTAATGTCTATTGTGTTTGGTTCCAAAACCTACTGAGCGGCCTATCTAGAAAGCATTTAGGCATCTTAGCCATGCCTAAAACGCAATGGCTTTTCCAAACAGCAAGTCAGCAAACGTGCCCTGCCTTCACATGTATCCTTATTGGATGAGGCCATTGCAGAATGCACTGCATTGTTGATTTACCCAACATTTGTATGTTTTATGTATTATCATGCTGCTTAGATAAAAATTGTGAATTAAGTCTGTGCTTCAGGTGAAGAGTGATACAGATCAGTGTTTGGTTCCATTATGTTAGGATGCTATCTATATTGGTATTTGGCAGCTAACTAGGGTTTGGAAAGGGCTATGATGTCTTGTTTGCTTGTGTTAGTACGTGATACATGGTGTGTGTGATTGTGTGTTTTTATCTGTTTAGCAAGCGAAAGAAGGGCATCAAGAATACCAAAGATGGCCCCTGTCCATTTGGACATTTCCTTCACCAATAGCTTCACCAGAGGAGGTGAGTGGGCGTCTCTTCTTTATTTCCGTTGACTCCAAGGAAATATTTAGCATCAAACCAATTCCCCATCTTCCATCTGATATCGTTAGTTGACTGTCTTCGGTCTTGATATCTCATTATCTGTGTTCTGTCACAGACCACAACTCTTCCCACACATATATACACGCTCATGCTGCTTTGACTTTGGCCTGCTCTTTCATTTTTTGCGGTGATGGTTCTGCTGAACTTGCAGATTTTTGTCGCCACATTTCTCCAAAGTACACAGAGTGTTTCATAAAATCCAAAAAGCTAGCCATGTAGATACATTCAGAACGCCTATTGTGAATGATTTTTTTTTTTTCATCTTGAAGTGGTGTAGAAGTATCCACCTCCCCAGTCAGGTCAATATCTGCACACTATCTTTGAATGTGATATTACAAGCAGGAAGGTCTTTGCTGTGAAAACAGCTTGTGCTTTATTGTACATCACGGAAGCGTATATTACATAGATTTAGATTCAGATTTTCACATCTTCTGAATTCAAAATCCCCCATGCCAAATGCTCACCTCGGATCAAAGAGACATGTAGAGTAATGTACATTTGCGACAGGATTTTATGTTAAATGACATGGTGTCATTTATTCAGCCTAACTTTCCAACCCCATACGAAAGTCTGAATATCCAAAGTCATAAGTAGAGGTCGACCGATAGTGGATTTTACCAATACCGATAGCTAGGTTGGACCAAACTGGCCGATACCGATTAATCAACCGATAATTTTTCAAATGGATACGGAGCGAAAACTAAAATAGTGCTTTACTAAAAAAAAAAACGTATTGAACAATACTTTGTACATGAATAAAAATATTAATATTAAATATTAATTGTATATTGATCATTAAAAATAGTTCATAGTTCATTAACTAATGTTAACAGAAGCAACTTCAAAATTTAAAAATGTATTAGTAGATGTTTAAATTAGCACACTCTAACTAGATGGCCATCTTTAAATATCTACACAAAGGCCATAGCATTGGAATTACATACATATGGATATTGTATGTATACTGTCACACTTTAATTGCTTCTATTCTAGAACACGTGATGATTATCTGATCAAAATAACAAAATATGGCAGTCGCTCACCAGGCAAAAAGCGCAGCATCTAATGCAGCATCTAGCCAACAAATTAATTACTCAGTAATCATATGAAAACATGCACTATAGTGTACTGTATACACCGTTTCGTTGTCTGTTTTAAATCCGCATCTGAATTTTCCCGCAATGTGCAGAGCGCTGTGTCACGTGTCAAAACAAACAGCACGTGGTGTCAGTGAATTACACCTCTAGAGGTCGCTCTCGCTCTCATACTGTTTAATGACATCGGACCTGCTCAGCTGCTCCAGCAACGGACGCAACCCGGAAAAACTATCGCCATGGATTTTTGCCGATAGTTCCAGCAACCAACTATCGCGCCGATTAATTGGCAAAGCGGAAACATCGGTCGACCTCTAGTCATAAGGGTTTGAAATAACATGAGTGTGTGTAATTGAAGACAGTATTTTCAGTGTTGGATGAACTAGTCTTTTTTTATTTTTTAAACCCCATTATATAATCTTGTTATTGTATTTGTCTGTTATGTCTAGTTTTGAACATCATGTCTTAGTATAAAACATGTTATGTCAGCTCATGATGGGTTGAGTTCTTGGAAAAGAGCTCATAATTTTAACAGAGCTTGGTTAAAAGATGCAAGTCCCAGTTGATGGGTCTAAGATGACGTCATGATTCAGTGATGTTTCTTGTCATATTTCTTGAAATCTGGGTTATAGATAGCAGCTGCTGCTTGAAGACTCATTTCTTTGCTGTTATGCACTGAAATTAGACCGGTCTCTATCTCACCACAGCCAAATATACTCCAGCAGGTGCAAGCTAAGACATTTCCCATCATGTGCTCTTAACAGAAATGTGGAACTGATTTTTCACTTCCTTATTTTTGGTAACATACCGTATTGTCCCAAATATAAGACGACCCTGATTATAAGACGACCCCCCTTTTTCCTATTTCATGGCACACTCGTTTTATGCGTATTTGGCGCCACCTAGTGTTGTGGGTGTATTATTGACATGTCAAAGTCTAGACCCTGAATATAAGACGACCGCGTTTTTTCAGATGTATTTCCAAGAAAAAAATATCGTCTTATATTCGGGACAATACGGTATATATATTTTTTTTCTTTAGTGGTGTTTTTTAAGTCAAGCATCACCATTATTATTGCTCATATGTATGGGAAGGGATTTTAAAAAAACTAACTATTAACTTGCAGGGCATGGTTGACAATATCAACTAATCGATTTTAATCTTTATTTTCATGAACTGATGTCAGTTTTTAAATTCCAAAATCAATCTTTTCAGCTTTGTAGCTAAAACATTATTAGTTATAGCACAAAATATGAACATGAATGAAGTGCAATAATTTAACCGTTAGTTTGCAATGAGTGAGAGATGGAGATGAGCGCTAAAATAAAACCCTGCCCTCTATTCAATATTCTGTTTTAGTTGGAAAATATGTCACTATACAGAAATACAGTCGGCAGCAACTTCCAGTTCACGCAGACTTTAAAGATTGGTTTCCTTGAGGAAAAAAATTGACATGTACTGTACCTGATATATATTCAAACTAATTGATATTGAATCCAAATCTGATTGATCAAGAGCTTGTGAATTGACCCTTCACAAAGACCCACCCCCCTTCGTTACTGTTTGTTACTGTTACTAATCGCGGTGCAAAGAAGAAACTGACAACGCACCAGGGGTGTGAAGTAACGAATTACAAATACTCACGGTACAGTAATTAAGTAGTTTTTATCAGTAATTGTACTTTTTTGAGTAGTTTAAAAATTGTGTACTTTTACTTTTACTTGAGTACATTTTAAGTGATGTTTTGGAGAGAAATGGGCTCTCATTTTAACCCATATCATGGTGTGTGTTGCTGAACTATGAGTTTCTAATGGTGTTTGTATTTGCACTGTTCTAAACATTAATATTTTATGTGCAACAACAGCATGCTGTCTCAGTGGCCTTACACATGATTTTAAATCTATTTTTTCAAACTTTATGATTTAAATGGGGATGATTGTACTGAGAATAACTTTCATCTTTTCTTCAACTGAATACTGTTTCTGTGCTGTTTTTATGTATTTTAAAGAGTTGGCAGTCAAAATTAAAACTGCTGGATGAAAGATATTCTTCATTCTTTATGACAAACAAGATAATGTGAATTACAGATTGTACAACGTTTTTAAAATGTATCAATTGCGGTGTACAGTGTTTATTATGATGGGGTAGAATCCACAGCTCAGTACTCACTACTCAATACTCATGAGTACTTTTAAATAGGCTACTCTTTTACTCTTACTCAAGTAGTTTTTTTGGACAAGTACTTTTACTCTACTCACACTACATTTTTTGGAAGGTAATGGTACTTTTACTTGAGTATATTTTTTCAGTACTCTTTCCACCACTGCAACGCACTGACAGACAAGACAGAGCAGGTTACTTTAGGTATGAAACAAAGTCTCAGCTTTCAAATTTTTGTCATTTTTAATAAATTCAAACAATAAATACAATTTTGTGGCTCTTTAATCTGTCGTGACAGATCGCTGTAGCACCTTAGTTCAAGCGGCACGTGAACCGATCATCTCTTCCTCTTTACTAGTTATTATAGCATGAAATAAACATGAATGAACATCAGAAGGTATCTTGTTTCAAATGTGGAAAGACGTCAATACACACCATTTTTCAAGTTAAAGTCCACCGACGTTAATCTAGTCTCCTGTCTGGTTTGTTTAAAATTACAGATTCTGCGTTATGATTGGTCAGATCACCTGTCAATCAAACTCCCTGCGAAGGGTCAATTGGAATCAAATCAATTTGTGAAATCAATACCCAGCCCTATTAATTTTCCTGAATCATTCCGCACCATGTATGCACCTTGTGCTACATGAATCACATCTCAAAGCATGCGGCTTCACTTTAGAGACTTGAGGGTGGGTCTTTTTTTACTTGGGCCAGTAAATAACCACCCAGAAAACCCTGTGAACCACATAGCGATGCCCTGGCCACCACCCACAACACCTTACCATTGTATAAGCAAGTTTTGTACAGCCAAGCACCGCTCACATTTTCTTCAGAAAACATAAAAATCTAGTTTTCCATATATACTTCAATTTTTCCGTATTCTTTGATCTTCTTTATTTATTCATCTCACTGATAAAATGTTCCTGACATTCATGTAAACCTTTTGTTTGTTCACCAGACCATCTTATTGTCTTCACTGATGCCTCATCTTTGCATACTTCACATCAGTCTGAAAGATTCAGACTACCTAAAAATAGAGGTCGACCAATATTGGATTTTGCCAATATGATAACCTGTATGGGGGAAAAACTGATTTCCTGATTAATCGCAGATATCTGTTAAAAATGTATCTACTGAATGTGTTAAAATCCTTTCCTGGAAGGACAGCTCAAGCGACAGGAATTCAATATACAGTATATGAAATCCTGTGTTGAGTCTATTGTGCAACCAAAACCCCCAATAATATCCATAAAAAAGCTGATATTGTGCATAATTATTGCGACCAATATGATCTGCAGTCAGCGTTCGCTCACTATGAATGTAATATCAGTAATCTGGTTTTTATATACGTAAACTGTTTAAATGATAATTGTTATTATCTATTGAAATACAAATAATGTAATTATTGAAACAGCATTTTTTTTCCTAATATCCGACCATTCCAAAAGCCCTTATTGATGCTGTTTATTTGGCAAAATATAAATCAGTCGACTTCTAATCTTAAAATCCTAATGTTATACAGGCCTGCAGCATTTCTCTCTCATCTGTCTCAATAAGCTGAGCTGCTAATGACTGTCCTGTCTGTCTACAGAGGGGGTGATTGTTGCATGTGTGTGAATTTTGTTTTCTGTTTTTATTTCCCGTTTCTGTGCCACCACCAACTCCTGCACCCTTAATCTACCAGTACTTGGGTACAGGGATAAACTATTCACTCACTCAAACCAAAAAGCTTCAACTAAGGGAAGAATTCACAATCAAGGTATAGTTTCTGTTTTACTGATTCTTACTAACAAAATCCATACTTGATTTAATCCATGTTCTCAACCTCTCTTTGACCTCTATCCATGCCTCTGTAGTGTCTGAAAGTTATACCACAATGAGGTTACCTCTGACTTTTCTGGTTTCCTGAAGTAAACTTGAGCGTGGCAAGAGCACTTCTGGTTTAGTTTGTTCTGGCAGGTCTGTCGTGACTGCAGTTTTGAGGTTCAGTGGTATGTTAGTGAATGTTTAGTATGTTGTAGTAGCTGATGACAAGAGCACTGAATCATCACTGATGTGCAGCACTGACCCCGTTTACTAAGTGAGCCAACATTCAAAACTGAACTCTCCAGGACAAATATTAGGCAAGTGGTCAGTAAACTATATGATAATGTGCTTCCATGGTAGTATGTTGCATACTATTGAGATTATTACTCTGGGCATTGGCTAATATATTACCGGCCAAGAGTTTGGAATAAATTATTTTTTATTTTTTGGAAAGAAGTCACTTCTTCTCAACAAAAGATTTTTATTGCATTTATTTGATCAAAAATACAGGAAAAATAGCTTCGATTTGAATATATATTCAAATGTAATTTATTCCTGTGATGAAAAAGCTGAATTTTGGTGCTCAATAATAAGTTCTGATTATTAGCAATGTTGTATGTCAGTTGTGCTGCTTAATATTTTTATGGAAACCATGATACAATACCATTCAAAGGTTTGGAGTTAGCAAGATAAAAATATATATGGAAATTAATACTTATATTCAACAAGGCATTAATGCATCAGTTTAGATTCCTAAAATATTTGTGTTTTCTCTTTATTATGACAGGTGGTCTAATAAATTTGTTAAGCACATACAGTGCTTAACAAATTTATTAGACTATATTTATTGACTGTAATTGGGCATCTGAATAAAAAATTATAATAAAGTGTTTTACCATTTTTTCTGCCTTGGTTGTAAAACAGTCAATTTAAAAATTCATGAATAACAACAATTATATTTTAGCATTACAAATACTACTGTGACTAAAGAGCTTACACACACCGGTGGATTAAGCATTACAGAAACATAAAAAATGATTTTGGTAATCAGCAGTACTGTTAGTTTAGGGCAGCTGTGGCACAAACCTTACATTGGGTGGTGTTGGTCTAATACATTTAGCACTGTGTGTGTGTGTGTGTGTGTGTGAACAGCCATCATTTAAAGTTCTTCACATCCCCTACCCCTTACATGTTTAACATGTTTATGTGGCTAATTTGATTATTTTAAGCTACCAATGAGTGTATAGTACTCTAAGCTCCTTTTAGCACATTTAGCATTGCCGAGTTTGTCCGTCCTTGATATTAGTTACGTCGGTTTGTTTTTCCAAAGTGATTTTTGTAATCCTGCCTAACCTGATGTTTACACACATCTGCTGTATCCCCTCTCTCCTAAAGGTGTGTGGGCTAGTCTGCGCTCTAGCAGCAGATTCATCCAGCATCCCGCTGCTGCCGACGTGGGCACGCGGTTGGCTGGCAAGGATCTGGCGCCCCCTACAGGCATTGAGAACCTCCTGGCCCAACTCCTCAAGCATCAAGCCGCTCTCTACATCTTTGGCGAAAAGTCTCATCTCAGGGTAAAGATGTTACACTTACTATGACTTCTTCGAGAGAAGAAGCTAAGGATTTGATGCAGACCTTGTATGATGAACCTTTTACAGGAAAGGAGGCCAAACATTTATGTGTTGAAGTGTACCAGTTCATATCACCCTGAAATACTTGGACAGTGTTCTCTCCAGTGCACAATAAATTTGTGACTAGATAAGGACCTCTTAATAGCCGTTTATAAAAGCCCTGATTTATTGACACAATTTGTCTGTTTTTGGCTGAAATTATATTACATTTGGATGCCTGAAGGAACTTTGTGCTGCTTTTTACCTTTATTGATAATGTGTTTCTTTAACATTCAATGTAAAATTTGTATTCCAAATTAACAGTTGGAATAAATCAGCCTTATTGTTGACAGTTAAGTAAACTCTTAAGTTATTTGGCGGGTCCTACTCGGTACATTAACTGTCTGTTTTGAATTTTGGTGGTTGCCTGTGAAGTGGAAATTTAATTTCATCCATATTAATAAAATAGTTGGTCTGCTCAAATTTATAGCCTTGGATAGAATATAATAAAAGCTTTTTGAGATACAAATTTGACTCAGGTCTGGAAACAAGCAAAGCTTCTACACAACATTTTACCCAGAGGTACAATCCAAATGTTTGGTTCTATGCTCTGTTTTTTTCCAGAAATGAAACAAAACAAAATTCAAAGTTTGTACCAAATGCTTTTCCATGACAGGGCTTAAGACTGGACTCAGCACTGAACTGTGAACTGGTGCCAGTAGAGTTTGCAGACACAAGACAGGTGAAGGGCTCCTTCAAGAAGCTTCTGAGGGCGTGTGCACCCAGTTCCATGTCCTCAGACACAGAGGACTCATTCCTTAAGGCTCTGGAGGAGAGCGAATGGATGCTACAGGTTAGCGTGATCTCTTAACACACACAGATCCCTGTTCTGTATTAAAACTACCCCTGCACCTTCCCCTTATTGTGACTCGAAATGGCCTATATCTTGAGAAAACCAGAAACACATTGGCCTGTGTGACTCTGACCCTGTTGAAAAGTCTTTCCTTAAAACTAGTCACCCATGGGAAACTGTGCAAGACAAAGATGGGAAAATTGCATGACACAATTAAAGCAAAACAATGTTGCTTACCACGCTGAAAGCCATGCACTCACAAACCCCTTTGGCCTTATGGTCCACTGTGTCTCAGACACTAAAACAATATTATCTGTAAGGATCCTTGCCAAGACCCTCCGAGAGCTCTTAGTCAGCAGTGTGCATTACAATAAATGTACAGGAACTGCTAAACTTAGAATGTGTTGTTTTGTACTCTGTATGTGCGTGTTCAACAGCTACACAAGCTGCTGCAGCTGGCTCTGGTTGTGGTGGAGTTGCTGGACTGTGGATCATCTGTACTAGTTAGTCTTGAGGATGGCTGGGACATTACCACTCAGGTGAGCATCATCTCACACACGTGCTGTAGCGTGACAATTCAACAGTCCTGCTCCTTCTGCTTATTAGATGCTTGTTTTAGAGCCTCGTCTTTGCCCATTGTCAGGCAATAAATGGAATTTCCAACATAATGTTTCCATACAGGATTCCCAATGCACCTTCAATCAAATTCCATTGTTCAAAACATATTTGAAAATGTCTATTTTGAATTGAAACTTGAATTTTATGCTATTGCAGTAGAGACATTTTTGTAGTCACAGCTTATATTTTCCATGCCCACTTGATCAGTTCATGAGAAACAGAATTGTGTTCTCTGAGTGTCAGCTGGGGTTGTTAAATGTAGCCTGTGGTCAGAATCAGGCACGTGTCTGAACAAGACCATTCCTGTTCATTTCCCTGCTTCTTGACCATTCTGCCATTCTCTCTGTAGGCCTGATCTGATATATTCATCTAAATAGGCTCCATGTGTCTGGCTCTTTAGAAGAGAACAGAATCACGTTGTTGTCACATGTCCATGCTTTCAGTCTTGGATGGAGTTGTGATATTGCGTATTGCTTTGTGATATTAACTAATTATATTTCTGTAACTCCTGGAAATAGGTTCTGTCGAAATTCTACATTTGGTTAGAGCAATGCTTTATATGTAACATTTACATTTTATTATCTGGCTGACACTTTTTTTGAAGTGGTATTCACAAATTTTTACTTTTGCATTTTTATTGTATCTCAGAGTGAAATTGAAAACTGAATAGAATACGGGGCTTGATTTTAGGACACCCACTCACCATCTCTAGCTCGCAGCAGACTGACGGTTGGTGGAGTGGTTAAGGATGTTGTGCCCAAGCTGTCAAACTGTCATCATCAGAGAAGAAATGCCATTACAGAGTGAAAGCTAATTTTCAGATTTTGTCTAAAGACTATGAAAACTGTTTTTTAATGTGGATAAATTGTTCACCAGAAGACTGTTAATGTACAGTAGTAAGTAAATAGGCTCAATTCTGATTTCATGCAGACCTTGAAATACTTGGGACAAACAGTGTAGACCATTATGTCACTCAAGATGAGTCAGTCTCTATGAAACGACATCTATCAAAAAAAGGTGAAGACAAAAAAATTATTTTAATTTTTTTTTTCATTTTGGAAGCTTAGTGTACAGAATATTGCACAAAGGTTGCCACAGAGTTCTGGGAGAAAAAGAAAACTAATAGGCAGAGTTCTGATGGTAAATTTTTTTTTGTCAGGTAAAAGCTGTGAGATGTGTTGAGTTGCGACAGTCACTGATATATGCATTGGGTCAGCAAGGGTCAAATCCAATAGGGCCAGCATTTACTCGCACTGGGCACTTATCAAGCGTCGGCCCGTTTGTAACTCATGGTTATATTCCTCTCTTCCTCTTTCATTCCTTCTCTACTGTTTCTGCAGGTGGTTTCCCTTGTGCAGGTGCTCAGTGATCCATTCTACAGAACCTTAGAGGGGTTTCAGGTGCTTTTGGAGAAAGAGTGGCTGTCTTTTGGCCACAAATTCAGCCAACGTGGCAACCTAACCCCCAGCAGCCAGGGCAGCGGCTTCACTCCCATCTTCCTCCAGTTTCTTGACTGTGTCCATCAGGCAAGTTGACTTTATGAGCAGTCATGTAGCTGACACCTTTATCCAAACGAGCCCGAGGTTACTTGCCTTGCTCAACGAGATAATGACTGATGATGAGATCTTGTTCTTGAACTAGCAATCGTCTGATGTTTTCTGTTATCTGGGGTGGTGGAGTCATAGTGGTTAAAGGCTGTAGGTTCAAACCACAGATGGAATACCTCATGAACCCCATGACCATTTTGCACTTGAGCAAGACACCTTAACCCCAGGCTGCACCAAATGGGACTGTCCATGTTCATTTTGGAGAAGTGTCTGCTAAATAACAAATAACCAATTGCTCCATCTCTCTTTTTCACACACTGCCCAGAATCACTTCATAACTCCTGATCTCTGCCTCACACACCACCCTTGTCTTGTTCCCACCATGCTTCGTCCATGAGCTCACAGCATTCCTGCAGCGTCCAGCCAGAAGGAGGAGGACGAGAAAGACTCAGCTGTCAGAATGCATGCTCTAGCTTTCCTTTTGCAATCCCCATGGTGGGCAAGTAATTTAGACAGAGCTGCTCCTTCGGCACATCTACCTACCTCCAACCCCCTTTGAAATGATCACACACAGATGGTGTTTCAACCTGCAGCCAGCATTGTCCTGGCTGGAGTGTTTCGCCATCACCTCCCAACATCAGCACGTTTAGTGGAAAACTGCAATTTTGGGGTTTCTGTTCAGTCTGTGCTACATTAAGTTAAGGGCAGGAAGAGTTTTTCTCCCTCCAGAGACAATGTGCACCACTCCCATGCGTTTACAGACATGTACTGATTTTAGGCATATTTGATGAAATCCAGGCGTAGAGCATTTGAATGACCCAGTGGAGGTCCGGCAATGTCACAGACCACAGAGATATAGAGAAAGCATCTGAAAATAGAAGTGTCTCATCTTAGAGGCAGCTGTTGTTTTTGCCAGGAAGTCCAGGTGGCCTCGAGTGCGAGAACATTGCAAGCTCTTCTGTCTAGATCCTGTTGGCTGTACATTATAACATTATGTCCCTCCTGTTGCTGTTATTTTTGTACATTTTAAATTCCCTTCAACTAATCATTTCCTGGGCGTTTACAAATTTTCTTGAACTGCGGTCTCAATGGTGTTCTACTCATATTTGTTGAATCACTGTGGCTGTGAAATGAGGCTAGAAAGCTTCTCCAGTGTGACGCATCGACTTTCTTATTCCAGGTTCATAACCAGTACCCCCTTGAGTTTGAGTTTAATCAATACTATCTGAAGTTTCTGGCATACCACTACATCTCCAATCGCTTCAAAAACTTCCTTCTGGACTCGGACTACGAGCGCCTGGAGCACGGTGTGTAACTCCTCATGTCGTCCTTTAAGAAGAAACACACAGTCCTCCACAATACAGTATTTGTCTTTTTGTATTGCCATAATTACATTATTGTGCAAATGTTTTTCAGCTGTGTTCTTCAAATAAACAAGGCTTTGAATGCCTGTATAGCATTACAACAGACACATGCAGTCTTGCTCAGAAAAGTTTTACCTACCTGTAGCAGCCTTGATGACCTTTGGAAGCACTTCTTTTAAGTGCTGCTAGTCTTATCAGACTTGGCTTCTGATATTTTGTTTCACACCTTATCGCATTACTCTGAGTAATGTGCGATTAACAAGTGCTTCTTTGTGTCTCCTCACTAAAGGCACATTGTTTGAGGACAAAGGAGACAAGCAGTCCAAGAGAGGAATCTGTATCTGGGAGTGTATCAGCCGAATGCACCGCAAGAGCCCTCTCTTCTTTAACTACCTGTACAGTCCCTCAGAGATGGAGGTAAAGAGTCTATCTGAGTGTGTGCAGAGGTACCAGACAGCTCTAATGGTCTTTCTCCTCACTAAAGGCACATTGTTTGAGGACAAAGGAGACAAGCAGTCCAAGAGAGGAATCTGTATCTGGGAGTGTATCAGCCGAATGCACCGCAAGAGCCCTCTCTTCTTCAACTACCTGTACAGTCCCTCAGAGATGGAGGTAAAGAGTCTATCTGGGTGTGTGCAGAGGTACCAGACAGCTCTAATGGTCTTTACCCTAGAGCACTCTGCTTAAAGGTTATGTTGACTACCAGTCCCAAACATGTTGACGTCTTTTGCCAGATCACGTTCACAGTGAAGAATAGTTCCACACAATTGCAAAACAGCCTTTTTGACCTTATAAAGCAGTGAATCAGGTGGTGACGGTCTGTAAAAAAAAAAAAGCTAGAATGGGAAAGTGCCCTATCCTCAAATCTAGGCTGTGAGTAAATGTTGTTTTTATCATAGGTATCTTCTCACTGGCAGTCATCTCCTGATATTCTTTCAAAATGAGTGAATCAGTTCAGCCACAGTCACACAGCCCAACAAAAACTTATTGCATGAAGTTTAGTGAGTTTAGTGAGAGCAAAGGGCCCTGTGGGCTGTTTCTTCTTTCTTCTCCATTCCTGTTTTACACTGGAGAAAGGGCCACACGTTGCAATCTTGAGACCGTGTGATTCTAAGGTTGGGAAAGAACAAGCATCATGCTTCTTCTAATTTAAAAGTTCTGTAAGTGTGTGTTAGACCTGAAATTATCCAATCACGTTTTCAGTCTTACAAAAAATGTTTTTTTTTTGCATCTTACGAACTGTTCGGTAAAGGAGACGTAATATTTACTAAACATTTGCTAAACAAGCTCTTCTGATAATATGACAGCTTTTTTGTTTTGTTTTAATCAGACATCAAAGTACTTGAAATTTACATGAAAATGACTGCGAGTCAGATTGCAACGTTCATATAAACTGACCTTTCAGAATCTGAAATCAGATCGGATTCATTACGATTGACGAAAAATGAGTGCATGTTAACATGCTTAATGGTAGAACAATACCTTCATAGGGTACGATTTTGGAAAGAGCGAGGGCGACTAATTCAGTGGCTAATTCTGGCAGAAATTCTACAGTGACTAATATTGCTTACAGCGCCTTTATGTAAAGTCAAAACTGAAAAATCCAACAAATAATGATTTCTTTGTTTTCCCCTTAGGCAGTGTTGAAACCACTAATTTCGATCCCCAATCTGACGACATGGGAGTTCTACACAGGGGAGACGCTGTCCACAGGCCCGTCTTATGACTGGCGTATGCTCACTGTGCGCTCTCAGAGCACCGAAGAGCCAGACACCATCGCCACCACCAAGAGGAGGATCGTCTGGCCATGTTACAGCAGCGTCAGCCGTGCCCAGCCTGATGCCATCACCAAACTCTTGGCTGTGAGTCCATATGTCTTTGTCCTTTAATAGTTTCTCACCAAGTCCTTATCAGGACCAACGAGCAACCTTAGCTCCCACAATGAAATTGAAAATGCTGCATGATGCATTAAAATTACAGCCAATCAAAAAAGTGACTAGAAGTTTTCTCTGTTTGCACCACACAGATAAGGAACATGAAACACCTTGTATTTATGCCATGCTTTTTTATGGTTTTCAAATATTCCAGTAGCCCCTCACTGCAGAACAAAGATCCAGGGGGCGGGGTTGGATCCACATCTAGGGGGTGGAGATGGGTGGGTTTAGGTATATGTAAGGTGGGAGGAGTTGGATCTGGATCCAACCTCGCCCCCTGGATCTTGTGTTCTGCAGTGAGGACCATCTCAAATATTCAGTGTTTCTGAACTTCTCAAAGGACAATCTGTCTCTCCTCATCCATGTTTGATGTTATCTGTGAATAGCAGGATTTAGACGGGTCACTATAAATAAGAAGGACAAAAATGTCAAAGCAGAAGCCAAAGATTTCCTGGTTGATCAAAGGCACCAGTAAGAGGGAATGCCTTAAAATGGATTTGTATTGTTGCAGGACATTGAGAGGCTGGCGGGAGAACTGGGACAGCAGTCTGAGCCCTGGCACACCACGCTGGAGAAGGTGCGAGACAGCATCCAAGAAGACCTCAAACAGGAAGGCAATGTGAGTGCTGTTTCTCTTTCCAGCTACTTTAGTACCGCTGTGCTTCACAAATGTTGCCTCAAGTGGCATTTCTTACCCATTTCGTTTTCCAAATTGTATAATGTAAATGTGCACACTGTGCACACAGAGTTTTTTTAGGCTTGTTTGTCATCACACACGTATGCAACGCATATTTATTTCAAGCCCAAATTAACATTTTAGCATTGACACTGACCCTTCAATCCATAAGTAGTTTAAAGTTACTCTTGTGGTTTGGATTCTTCTCTGTGTAAATTTCAATTTGAATGTACCCCTAAAATTTCAGAACTAATCTATAATGATTCTTATGGACCAACTCTCAAAAATCATTTATTATTGATGGGGGTTCTTAATAGAAACACTATATGTAGTAACCCCAATATCATGAGAGCCGCAGCTTTAAAGGGGACATTGGATGAAATTTTCACTTTTTTTGCATTTAGTTAGGTTTGCTGCTTTGCTTATGCACGCCTTGTGGATGGGAAACAGGCCTTAAAAAGCACCAAAGCAGCATCCTTGTTTGTAGACTTTATGTAATTAGCAAAGTGTCTTCTCCAGATATACTGACCTCATCTCGTTCTTTTAATCTCATAGCTGCGGAAACAGTCAGTGTCCATCTCTGGTTTGGTCCCCACCTCCAACCTGCAGGCCTATCAGCGACACTCCATGTTGCACCTACCTGACAGCGACCTCGGAGAGGACAGTAGTCCCACTGCAGTCAACGGGGTTAATCGCAGGGCAGCCACGCTCTACAATCAGTTTACCACAAAGAATGAAGACAACAGGTAATAATGACAGACAACACCTTTAATACCGCTTAATCTAACTTAATCGACAAAGCAAACAAGCCATCATTTCTTTTATACAGATCATTTGAGGGAATCCTGTACAAGCGAGGGGCATTACTTAAAGCTTGGAAAGCTAGGTGGTTTGTTCTGGACATAACAAAACATCAGGTGAGTGGTTTATTACATTTTTGTATTTTGGTCTTTATCTTAATTCATTTATTTATTTGTCATGCATTTTGACTCACTCTATAGCTGAGGTATTATGAGACGGATGTGGACACAAGCTGTCGTGGCTATATTGACCTGGCTGAAGTGGAATCTGTCCTGATTGCCACACCAACTATAGGAGCCCCCAAACACATCAGTGAAAAGGCTTTCTTTGATGTAAGTATTCCACCAGTTAATGAAGCAATGCAGTGCGTGAGGCTGTGCTTTACCCAAGACCTTTAGATATGCCTAGTCTTGTGTTGCCAGACCCTTTGGGGGCCCTGATGTTTTGCCAAAAACCCCTGATCCTTTTGAAGATGGACCATTCACTTCTCAAATAAAATATGTTTTATCAATTTAAATTTGTTCTCCAAGTACTAGAAATCCATCTGCTCGTGATAAAAGCAGTCTGCGCTGCGGTAGATTAGCGCTTAACTTACATGTTTATTCCACTAAACAAAGCCCTCGTTTTATGTTTTGGATATTTAAATAGCCAGATTAGCATTTTGTCAGAACCTTTAGTAATTTACATGCTATTTTGTTGTTGTCTATTTTTTCAGAATCATGGGAGAATCGTATCCATTTAAAAAAATAAATAAAAATAGTTGTGATTCTCCATTCTCAGTTTATCCAGAATCGTGCGGCTCTAGTTGGTCATTTATCCACATGTAATGTAAACAAATAAATGAGTTTAATTTCAGATAAAGCATCAAAGATGTGGTCAGTGAGGCTCAGTATTCAGAACGTGGGGGTGGGGCTAAGCCCCTTATCTCTCCCAACCCTAGTAACTCTCCACCACTTAATCAAGCCACTCTTTATTAAAGCATGATGACTTTGCGTTGCAATGCTCACGTGTTGAGCTGTTTTGTCCACAACCATTTTATAAATATTCGATTTCTTCAGCGACTGATTTGGCGCACATCATTCTCTTTCTATGAAATCTGTAAATATTCACTGTAAACATTTTGTGACTGCATGACCATATATATTAACGTTCTATAGTGACACCAACTCTATAGCGGTTTGCCAGAGAATTGCAATTATTTTGCATTTACTAGAATTTAATCAAATGGCTTTCCCAACATTTTTGCATGTCTTATGCGCGGCATATTATTTCTTATACGTGGTCACAATGTAAGAAGTGCGCGGCAGAGCATACGCACAGCTTAGAGGGAACATTGCGTAGGAGGCTGATCAGCTAGCTGGTGTTCGACTGGATTCTGTAGTTACTGGTGACGCAGTAACTAACTACAATAGGAAAAAAAATCTTCGGTCTGTCCAGTGATTGTAAACACTCACTGGGTCTGTCAGACTGGAGAAATGTATGCGGTAATGTGACCAAAAATATTTAAGACCCATCAAATCTGAATTTAAGACATTTTAAGACTTTAAGGACCCCGCGGCCACCCTGAATAAATAATTCAGGAACATTGTGCAGGTTTACCGCAACAATGGCACAGAGTCTACTTCTCATACTTTCCCGCGTTTAGTTGAGCCTGATGCGTGATCATTGTAGCAATTGTAAAGACAGCTTTTTTCTTCCAGGAGGGAGTTTGGCGTCACAACAGCTTTGTTTCCAGGTGGACAACACATCTCCCAGAAATCCTGTAGAATTTCAACCAATCAGATGAAGCTTTGAAAACGCCCCAAATCTTTAGTGTGTCTTATGCATCAGTCATTCAGCCAAAGTTCCGTGGGCATGACGTCTGAGGCCGAGGATAAGAGATACCAAGACGGTGCACTCATAATGCATTGGCTGGCCTGAATTATACGCCTTTTTAATGCTATTTGAGCATAAGAAACAACATTTATGGGGCAGTTCATGTCAGATTGTGTTGCATGTTTGAAATATGTTGTTTAAATGTGAATATGGCAAGCAGTTTTTGAGATTTAAGGATTTCGCCATTCAAGCAGATAGGATATGGCTTTGGATGTCTGAAAGGGAGTTTGCTGTACTCCCTCAACCGTGATTATACTAACAATATAGCACTTGGCTGGCATACCTATATCATTCTGATGAAAAACTGTCCTTAATATTTTCAAGTACATACAGTAGGTGCCATCCTTACGCTAGAAAAGCTTGTACCTGCCATGTAAAATAAGGTTAATACTTGAGTGCAGCCACAGTGACACGGTGAACGTGCTGTTACTTTGACCCATCAGCATCCAGGACTATCAATTAATGATATGTGATACATTTTTCAGAATTCTTTGATGAATAGACACTTCATAAGAACAGCATTTATTTGAAATTGTAACATTATGAAAGTCTTTACTGTCACTTTTGATGACTTAAATGCACCATTGCTTAATAAAAGTACACAAATCTCTTCTCTATTTTTCTATGTCCCTGCAGCTGAAGACCACTAAACGGGTGTACAACTTCTGTGCAGCAGATGCTCAGAGTGCCCAGCTATGGATTGATAAGATCCAGAGCTGCATCTCAGATGCATGAAGCCGTTTTCTTCTACATGGCTCATCAGCACCACCTCTCACTGCAGGGAGACTCACTGTGCAATTAGTAGGACCGTAGTAAAGCCTTCAGTGACTGCTGAAAATCCAAAAGACTCCTGAGAAACACTGCACCTGAACAGTGACGTAGAAAAACACTGCCCCGTTCACTCGTCTGTGGAGCTGCATTTACTGTGTCCCACTACCTGTGCTCAAAAACTTGATCCTGAGCTTCTGTTTCAGGTGATTGATGAAAACGATGCAATGCACTACTCTGACATTTGCTGAACAAACTGCTACATGCAACTAAGACAAAGCAATAGCACTAATCTTAAACTCGGGGTTCAAAATAGTAGTGACAAGAAGTGTGTTCTGCAAAACAAAAATACTGTTGCTGCTGTTAAAATGCAAAACAACTACCCAAATCTGACAAATATTTAGAAAGATGCACAATGTGTAAAAGGCAAATGATTTGCACTTAATGATATGCACTCCATACAAAACAGATTTTTAATGGCTAGAACAACTAGGTTAAAGGTGTTAGGTTTTAACTACACACAAAAGCTTGGAGCAGACAACTTTATGCTCTAGTGTGCAAAGTATTTTTTATATATATTTGCAAAAACTTTTTTTTCAGTATGAATGTTATACTCATGCGTAACAGAGTTGTTGTTCTGTAAATTATTTTTTAAACAAAGTGTCACCTGTGTGTTTTTGTTGAATGGAGAGTCTTATGTACATATTACAATTCCAACTTTTTATACTCTGCTGAATATGCTGTTAAATATAGTATGTCTAACTTGAAATAAACACTCATATTTATACTTAATTACTGACAATTTACGGACCAAGCAAAGCACATCCTGCCTGAGATGGTTATCAGTAAGTCGTTTTGTTTGAAATGAAGGGAAGAACACTATATTTCTCCATTCTCTGTGACGTTACATGTGATATTGATGGCTCTATGCGGCACTAAGGTTTTATCCATTTGTTTTGGTAGCGTATCTGTAAAGTTTTAAGAAACACTCAAAAAAAAAAAATATCAGACAAGATGTGATGTTACTGAACCTAAAATGACATTACTGTATGTAACAATAATTTGTAGTGCCACTAATGTTTCTGGTTTGTTTACTGTTTTTGGTTATATTTTATTTTGGGTTTTGCTGTTATTTGAAATAAATCTAGAGAAGTTTCATTTTGTGACTGCATGACTATATAGCTTAAATTATGCATGAACAATAAGACCTTAAAGGCACGCTATGAAAATATGTAAGAACGCAAAAGCACACGTTGCATCCTGAAATGTAAAAATCCTCAAAACAACATTTTTTTACTGGACATCAGGCAAAAATAAAAAATGCAGGGCAGGCAGTTCAACAAAAGTGGGTTTTAAATTGTCAAATAAATCAGATTTTGATACAACATGGATTTACAGCAATTTGTAAAGGATATAGCAGAGTTCACAGGCATAGAAAGTTGGCTTTGCAGACTGTCGCACAGAAAACAATACAGACTAGTTGCTAACTTTGGCCACTGCATTGAATCTCTGATTTTCATTGTCTTGTGGCATGAGCATTGTGAATTTAAGACGGTATGTTAAAATAAGCCGTTTTCTCTATTCCATAAATGTTGACTGTAATAGAATTGACTCATTATCAATAGCCCAGTTGCAAGTGTGTGTTCCATTTCCAAGCCTAACCTCACTCATCTTTATAATCGAGCCCTGCCATAAGGGGTTTTGTAGTGGCCATTAGAGTAAACTTTTTTTCCTTTCAGGTCAACAGCTGTTGAGGCAGAGCAGCAATTCAGTACAAACGGCACATACTTCTCAACTGTCGGTATGCTTTTAGTTAACTACCTTAATAAGAGCACCTTAGGTTAAACAGCACTGGCACGTGGAAGTAACTCTATCAGCCCCTTGAGTACCGTGGATTGTCACAGCCACAGTAATGCAAGAATACATAAGTGCCATGAGACAGGACAGCACGCTTGCAATGTGCTGACCAAATTGTGGGTTTGACCTGGCTTGCCCTGATGTACCAAAATGTAATTTTGGTTTACTCTGTATTGAACTTGACAAAAATCATTTTGACAGAGGCTTTAAATGTAGCTCCTCTGCAGATATTTCAGCACTGTCGCTCTCATTGGCAATTGTCATCAAGCAAAGATCAGCAACATGAAATGCTGAATCTGAATCCATGAGTCCAACTTAAAGCTACTGATGAATGATATCCACTACAGTCTTTAAAAGCCATTTAAAGCATTCACGGTGCAACGTTAAAGTCGGCATAAAATAAAAATTCATCCATGCATGCTTTTTTTAATTTGACTTCATAATATTTAATCAAAATGGCATAACTGGATGAAAACGTCAGACTTCTCTCTAGTGACATATACAGGACTTCTCCATTCAGTCTACTTAAACCCGCTCCTGCAAGCTCATGTTCAAGAGAGAAAATCACTCACTGCTCTTAGTAGCCCTAATAAGGATTAATCTACATTTTATTAATATAAATAATGAAGAATGTTATAAGCAAGTTGTCATAGAAAACTTGGCTATTTCTACAAATATACCCCAGCGACTTAAGACTGGTTTTGTGCTCCAGGGTCACATATAACCATTGGTATTTCAATGAAAAGTAGACCATGTTGTTCTTTCTTTATATGTGGTTTTATTTCATTTTAAGATGTAAGATGTGTTATGTGTCACAGCAGTTAAATCTGTGTCTATATTGCATGTTCAATCCTTAATATCATTCATATTAACAGGTTAATATGTGTTTTATCCAGGAATATATGAGTTTGGAAATTTTAGAAAATTGCTTTATAAATGCATTACACTGTAACTAAACCCCTTAGATTTTATTTGACTAAATCTACTGTAGATTTAGTCGACTAAAACGAAAACAATTCAGATGACTAAAATATGACTCAAACTAAATGGAATTTTCCTCAAAAGACCATGACTAAAACTAAAGCATAATTTGCTGACAAAATTAACACTGGCAGACATTTGACATCTCCAGGACTTTTGTTATCAGAACAAAATGAAATTCTGCTTTTCATTGTTAGCTTTTTGTATAAAACATATTTAAATTTTAAATAAGGTTTTGTGCTCTTGCTACTGTGTGGATGTAAAGATGTATAGCAATAAAGTAATAATTCATAAAAACATTTGCTTGGTTTGTGTTGGATGTATAGAAGACTACATAAAGAATATAGAATGTAGCCGCTCCACATAAGTGTAAATGTTATGTTTACACAAAAAATACAGTATTTTAATATAAAGTAAATTCATCAAAATTGATACCTGTGATTAGATAATCAAGGTAAATAATTAAGAACTATGATTTTGTCAGTCCTACATTAGAGGGTTAAAAAAAAAACGTCTTGACCTTATTAAAAAACAAGACCAAATTCTGTGTACATCATTCATAATTTCTTACATAAATTGTCGCATTGAATTGAACGAGGCAAATTACATAAGAATAATTAAGAACAATTTGCATGGAAATTCATTCACATTCATGAGAGGACATCCCAAAAAGAGACCAGCACTCTCCAAAAAAACATCAACATTAATAAACCATTGCTACTCAATAGAAGATCTGTGCAAAACAAAGAGATTACCAAGATCGACATTGAAATTCTGAAATCTCGAAAATAAATTCAAGGTTCTTGTGCGACAAACAGATGTTACAGTAAAGGCATGCTAAGTGTCAGTACTTGCTTCTCTCTTCAGTTCTCAATAGACAGATATGTCTCTGTAGAGGCCAGGACAGTTCAAGTTCGTCATCAGTTGGCAGCTTGTATAATTTGATACACAGTGTGATTCAGCCCATTCATTTGGTAATATGTGCCTTCATTGAGGAAAAACATGGAAACAACAAGTCTCGCCTTTCTTCCGGGATTCTGAATAGGATATCTCACTTAATGAAAAGTAAGATGAAACGTCTACAAATCCTTGTTGGACACACCTAACGGGTCGCATCTAACCATCAGAGCCAAGCGGTCTCACTTGCAGTAACGGAGGAGTAAAAGAGGCCACAGGCGCCTTTGAGGCGAGACACTGCAGCGCCTCTCCGCTCCGAGAAAAAAAGCTGATGGGACTGAGGTTTGCAAGAGCATTGGGGATGTGCATGATGTGGGCTAGTTGCTCCCTGCTGACTTGTATTGAGAGCAGGTGTCGGCCTGGCAAAACATCTGGACTGGAGCTCTCTCACAATTCCCTCCAAATATAGATGCCTCCCGGAGAGGGAAGCAGCTGAAGAGGGAATGCTTGGAATGGGACAAATGGGATGCTCTGGAGAAATTGCAGTTAACTGGCTATCACGGGAGACTTATGAATCTGTTGGATGTTTCAGTGACTGAAGTCACAACAGTTCGCCTTCATAAATGGTTTAAATGTGACCTCTTTCCATGCAGATTGTTAAGAATTGTGAGCTTATATAAATATGAACCATTCTTCTCCATAAAACAGATCAACATTTTATTTAAAGGATTACACCTTACTCTTTTGGAGGTCTATGTAGATTGATCACAAGCGGTCGTTGTTTATTCCGGGCACTAATACTGGCTGGTCATAGTTCAACTTGAATTTCAGAGCACATCCGACTGTCTGAGATCCTTCACATTCTTGTTGGCAGCCGCCACACATGGCAGATGTTCTTGTCTAAACACTAAAGTGTTTGACTGCTCACAAATCAGCAATGTGAACAATGCAAGTGTGACAAAAGCATGCAGAATGGGGATTACATGTAGACCGAATGCAGGTGGCACTGGCGTGCAGAACACACCTGTCCCAAAGATAGGTCACGTCATTCCACTTCCTGTTACCAGAAAAGAATCAACAGCACATTATATGCTCAATGCCGTCACGTTAGCACCCTATTTAGCTAGCTGGTAAATAGCTGTGGTTTGGTAACGTTGGCTTATAGAGCGCTGCAGCAATGACGTGTTTTTGTAGGCCAACCTTGAAGTTAGCCTCACCCTCGACAAAAACCCAGTAGGATTTTTCCATTGGCTTTTGGATGATGAGCAAACAAGCTCTGTGACCAACGAAAGTGATTTTAACATGTTTTGTTCATCATGATCATCTTCACAAATCAACACAACTTTGAATTTAGAAGCCTAAATACAGTCGCCAGAGGTAAAAACCTAAACGTAGCCCAAGTACAAACTACACCACCTTCAACGACAACACATTTCAGTCTTTATTTAAAAAACAAAAACACTTTTTATGAAAATCGGAGTCAGAATTAGGAGTGTAACTGTTCAGATTGCTCACGGTTTGGTTCGGTTCACGGTTTTAGGGTCACGGTTTCTGTTCGATACGTGCTATGTTCAGGGAATAAAGGACTATGGTCAAATAAAAATAAAGAAATAAGAACAAATAATCATACTACAGGCAACAGCACAAATAAATTAAATAGAGCAAATGTACAAATAAAATAAACAGTGCTTTTCAGATTTTTCAGGTGTCTAACAGTAATTTTCAGGTACAGCACTGGAAACTAACAGTGCATATTTCACTGTATAGCCTAAATTAAAGATCAATTTTTGTTTAAGTTCCAAAAGCTATTCAAGCTATTTTTTCATAGTAGCACGCAATAGATTTCAGTCGCAAATGCACTGCAGAGCCCTGATTTGTCAGTTCAACAGCAAGGCTTATGGAAGGATATTCCAGACAATTTTCAAAAGGAATTGCAAATTGTATTTTCAATTGCGTTTTCCACATGTGGACGCATAAATTGTCTTACGTGTTATGAATTTAATAATAATTTATGCATCTAGCAGACGCTTTTATCCAAAGCGACTTACAGTGCATTCAAGTTACACATTTTTTACCAGTATGTGTGTTCTCTGGGAATCGAACCCATGACCTTTTGCGCTGCTAACGCAATGCTCTACCACTGAGCCACAGGAACATTATGAGCCTGTTATATTTAAATAGCAATATTAATTACCACCTCTTACTTTTTCACTCTCTCTGCGTCACGCATATAACCGGACAAAACTCGTAATTCCTTTAGCATTTGAATTTCCGATGCCTTACCTGTCAATCAGTGTCTCATTTCTGGGTTTTGGCTTACAAAAAGGTGTCAAAATGTGTACAAAAAACTTTATTGCTATTGTTAGGGGAATAAAATGGCATTAGTTTTAA